TGTTACCATCAAAACATACGTCAGTAATCTTTCACAAAATAATATGTAAAAAGTATAATATAGCCTAATTTAATAATTTTGTATAATATTGTATCTCTGTGTATGTACTCTGTGCACCTAAGATTTCAAGGTTTAAAAAAAAATCACTCGATATAAGTAGGGGAGACTCGAGACAAAAGTAACACGAGACGAATCTAACTATTGTTATAAAACAAATGCAAGTCGACTAACAATCGTCTCCATCCATTCTATACACCAATTCCATCTGCCCTCCATCTCAGTTTTTACCAACCTGCAGCTGTATGCGGTTCTCCTAATACGACTATCCTATTGAAATACTATACTAAAAGTAAGTTTCTATTGTATCTTTCAATTATATATCTTTCTGTTTCTATTCCGTAAAATCTTTTGCAATTTTTGATGTTATACTATGCTTATATTTATGTTTATGTCTATCTACAGAATAAATAAACATATCATTTAAAAACATCTTTTCTATAAATTACTTTTGTTTTTCAAATTATATACAGTCTTACAATTATCCCTAGGGATAGCGTCAAAAATAAAGAAATGAGTCATTTAAAAAAAGTCATACTCCAAAGAAATAGTATAATATTCATATTCCAAGTTTTTAAGTTTGCTTGTAGATTTGACATTGTGTTCGAACTTTTTGAAATTTAAAAAAATTGGAAACTTACAAACTCAAAAAGACAAATTATTACCTTCGTTCCTGGTCTCCCCTACAACATAACCTAATTTAATAATTTCATATACGATTATATCCCTGTATATCCCGTACACCTAAAATTTCAAGGTTTCAAAAAAAGATCCCTCGACACAAGTTTCAATTCCTGTTCCATCTGCGCCGTAACAACTGTAATCTCCATTCAACAACATTCTTCTACAAACCCATGAACATTTGCTCATTCGTCGGTGCCACCGGTCCAGAAACAAACATGGCGTCCGTCCAAAAGCCAGATGCCACTCACAGCAACATTCGAAATGTCAATGGCCAGTTGAAAATTAACATGTACAGATGTTAATTCATTATCCCACGTCACTGGTAACCACAGTCGGAAAAGTTCATTCATCGTGTTTACGAGCCACGGATCCGGTCGGTCCTGCCCTCGACACGCATGTCCTTGTCGCGGCGGCGGCGATTCCGCGATGCTGTTAAAGTTTATGGGCGCGGCCTTGTGTGTATACCAACGACTCGCGCGCGCCTTCCGAGAGTTTATTGATTCTCAAGCCACACGGCATCTTTCGCCCGCCGTTCTGCCCTATCGAGTTTACTCCCTCCCCCCCTCCTTTCTTGGCTTACCGTCGGCCCCCGTGTCATGTCTACGGGGGTTGCTTCGTGGATATCCAATGATGTTCGTTCGCGAAGACAAACTTTGGTTATACGGCCCGGGGAAAACGCACGGGAAATATATTTTTTTCCTGGACGTCGCCCTTCTCCGGGAGGAGAGATCCTCTCTTTCTCTCTCTGCCTTGGAAACGGACGCTTGCGCCGTACTTTTTCCGTGATTCAGGGGGCTCCTGGTGTGTCGGATTATTGTTGATGAGATGCTTAACGCTAGGACGATTGCGCGATGAATTGTTGGCGGGTGGCACTGAGGCCTCGAAAGCTGTGAGTCTGGAGGAAAATTGGGGATCTTGCGTTGTTAATTCGGTGAACAGTTAAATCATACGTGATGAATGGAGAACGGTGGAGAACGTGATTTTTTGGGGAGCTTCAAGGTGTGGGATCGCTTTGGTTTTATGGGGTACCATTGCATATTGCTGTTGTAAATACACTATTTGTTTAAGTAGAGTATTTAGTAACTTGTTAATTATATTAATAACTTGTAGTAGAGAATTTTCAGTGATCGGATTTTTTTTGGAACAATACTATCTGAGTTAATTACTTTACTCATTTATGTATCACAATAAAAGTCACATTTTTGGAGGACGTTGCAATATAGGGATTGGAACTATACTCCCATCCATAAGTATTAGGACACTTATTGAATATGTAGTAAATATTACTAGGTACAGTAAGTCCTCGATCAGTCTTTATAAGCTCTTCGGTACTGACTTTTTAATTAGGTTTAGCATAGTGATAGAGCTTGGAATTTCGAGGCCAATGATATTGGTTTCAGCCGCATATTTGCATACGATGTATACTTTCTTCTGTTCGATCGAACTCTCCGCAGGTATTTATGTTGGAAAAATTCAGTAATTTAGCAACCAAAAAAATTCCTAAATGTTTGAACTGTTAATTTTCTTGGTCTGTATTTAAATAAATGAAGTTCAGTATCAGATAAATGATTGTTCTATTATCTGAAAATTCCTTTATCCAAACACTTATGTCTCCCAATTAATTCGTATGCAAGAGTCTCTACTGTACTTACAACCGGATTCCAAACATCATTAAAAGTCGCCATCGAACCCAACAGTCCTTCGAATCCTCGTATCGCAGAAGGTGAATAGGCGCGAGGTCACGCGGCGTTTCAAGGCTAATCGCGAAAGGAAAGTCATTATTCTTCATTAGCCAGTCTTCTTCTCCTCTTTCAATGACTCGTCGCGCCTCTTAGCGTTTCCACGGCGCGCGATCGTGGGCCCATCCATCTTGCGAAGGATCCTCGAACCGCCTCCCATCTTTGGCCCCCTCTACCGCTCGATATATACCTTCCATCCTTTCTTTTCCGCTCGAGTTACCACCCCTTGCCCCCCTTTTGGCAGACAGCTTCCAGCTAGGAACCCTCCTTGCCACGACGTTCTGCCCGCTCGTTGCCTTACAGTTACGCGAGAGCGACGTCATGGGAGAAAAGCAACGCGGAGGAATCGTGGAGGACGGGGTGAAGGGGGTGGGGATACACGGGGCAAGGGACCGACGGCGTCGTCGAGGTTGAAGGGCGAATGGGAACCGGGAAGAGGGTGGAAACGGCTGACGAGGTTCGCCCTCGCCTCCCGTATAGTATCGAACGCCAGGAGAGAGAGAGGGTCGCCTTGAATTAACGCCATCATATTTCAGGATGGAGGAGCTCGCCGGGGTTTTCTTGCCATTTGTCTCAGGGTGTACGCCGCGGCGTCTACCGAGCGGAACCGCCATCGCCTTTTCCCTTTTGGTACATGAGTAATAACCACGCGGGTAAATGGGTCCTCGCGAAATCTGACGAGAAAAACAGATATAGGGTGTAGTCTCGCGTTCTTTACGCCGAATTCTGGGACCCTGCGTTCTGTTGGATGCGTTCGTTAATAATCGTTCAGGGGCTTTGCTGCTTGAAGTATTATTATTAATATTATTATTATGTTATTTGTGTGACATGAGTTATAGTAAATGTGATTTAGTGGGAAGTGTGTAGATATGGATTTGTTGCGTATGTTTTAGGGTTTGTACCTACGATCGAACTAGCGCGGTAAATGAAGGCGAAGAGAGAATGTTGTGTACCAATGGTGTAGTACCTACTCGAAGTTATTTACTGAGAGTTATTAATTGAGTATATCTCCAAACTGTTGATAGGTGTTTATGCGGTTGATAGGTATTTCTAAAAAAAATGTCGAGGATGCCTTACAAGGGATGGCACGGTAATGTCCCCCTTCGATTTTGATGATACTTCGTACGTCTGTTAAGTAGTCAAAAATAAAGCATGCGTATTTTTTTATCGGCTGAGATGCCACTTTAAAGGTTGAAACCACCCTTCGAAATTTCGACCCGAAAGTACTATCTCGAAAACCAGAGGAAATACATGAATACTTCTAATGGACGAGGTTTGCGGTTTTTTATCTAGAATAACAAGGTGCTAAACATTATCCAAAATATAATTTGTTTATAACAAAAAAAATTCGGACCGAAACTTCAATGGGTGGTTTCATTCCTTAAAGTCGCGTCTGAGCCGATAAAAATAATACGTATCCCTTATTTTTGACTGCTTAACTGACATACGAAGTTTCTTCAAAATCAGAGGGGAACACTTTCGTACCTTCTCTTGTTACTAATATCTTAAACGCGTCTTTAAAAACTTCTAAAAAAAGCGTTTAAAAAATCTTAAATGCGTCGTAAAAACGCCTTAATCATCATGATGCCATTTCAAATAACGTAATGGTTAAGAAGTTCACGATTGTTTATTATTAGTGTATTGTCGAAAATTTGTATATAACAATTCTTATAAAGATATAATAAAAACCAGAAATATCCTGTTATTAGAGAGAAAAGAACATTCAAAGTACTAGTGTAAAAACTTCATTCTATTTGATTTTAATCATAAATCAAGATTTAACTTAATTCGGAAACTACGCTTTGATCGTACTGAATTGAATGGTTGAACTGGAATACTTGTAACATAGTTGCTCAAGTTCAGTAGAAGCAAACAAGCAGCTGTCAATTCTTCAACTTATATAAAGGTATTGATTAAAAATTCTATTGCACATTTTATCAGTAACTTATACATTAAGCATTTGAGTAATTGCAGCTATCAGGTGGAATTAATGATAAGCATTGGCGCTCTATTAATTTATTAACAATTTGATCGATTACAATTGATCAGTGTGACATAATTTTAGTTTCCCGAACCAATTAAAGAGAGTAAATTTGCACTATTAATACCTTGCCTTTACAGTACCTACAGTGGAAAAAATTTACATAATAATCAGTTGACTGAGTTTCGGACCAAAGTACACAAAACCTCACATGGCCGACAAAAGACACTTATATCCATGTTGTCCGCATTAGCTAACGACGATTCATATTTAATAAATATCTCCTAATTCAAATGATGTTTCGTTCTTAATTGCTTAGGATTCCTGTCAACACTTACTCACCCGAAACACGGTCAACGAAATTATACGTACAAACTTCCCTCAATTCTCGAATTCCATAGAACGTGAAATTACCCCCATCGTTTAATATTAACGTATAGTAACATTTTCACACAATTAATTATCGATTGAACGTTAATAATCATCAAACCAGTTACTAATCCCTTCATACCTAACAGATCGCTTCCATCTGATTGCAGGTATGGTTCAAGAACAGAAGAGCAAAATGGCGGAAGAAAGAGCGTAACGCATTGAACGCAGCCGCGGCAGCCACCGGCGATTTCAAGACCGGTTTCAGTACCGCCAACCTAAACGGTTTCATCGGCCAGCCATTCGCAGACCCGGACGCCCTCTACAGTTCGTACAGTACGTACAACAACTGGGCGGCCAAGGTCCCGTCCCCGTTGAGCACCAAAAGTTTCCCGTGGATGAACACTTTGGGCTCGGTTGTACCCACCGCATCCCACCACCATCACCACACACAAGTTAGCCCCGTGAATTGCTTCAACGCCGCGGCAACGTCTGTCGCCAGCAGCCACATGGGCGGTATGTCCGTGTCGGTTGGTCAGGCAGCCACCTCTATGTTACCCGGAATGGGATCAGGCTTAGGTGTGGCGGGTTCCCCTGTTGCGGCGTCAGGTGCAGCGTGTCCGTACGCGACACCAGCCGCGCCTCACCATCCTTACGGACCACCAGTCTACACTCCACATCATAGAACCGCGGCGGCACCTGAGATGACCTCGAGTAGCATCGCCTCCTTACGATTAAAAGCCAGGCAACACAGCAGCGGTTACAGCGGTCTGAGCGGCAGCTCGTTCAGCATAGACAGCACACCAGTCTCCGCGGCTGGAAGTCCCGTTAGTTCCAGAGCGTCCTCGGTAGGGGGCGGTGGTGGTCTGAGCGCCTGTCAATACGCTATGTCGACAACCGGCGAAGGTAATCCACACTCGCCTGGAAACGCCGAGGCTCACGTGAACGCAACTGCCAGAGCCCAAGTCTGAGGTGAAGCGGGGGCTACGACTAGCCCCCATCAGCAGCACAACACCGTAACCGCGAATTCTGGAAGCTCTTTGACCGGCTCTCAAGGCTCCTTGGGCGGCGGTGGCAGTCAGGTGTTACCGGTTGGAACCGCGCCCGGTGTATCTGGCAGCCAGCAGACTAACGACAATCAGATGAGATCGCAAGAGTGACCCAGGCCTAGGTCCGCCGCGTCCCCGACATTGTCGTCGAGTCCCTCGTCGACCATCTCGCATCCGTTTTATCCGATGTACGACGACGACGGGACCACGGCGGACCAGAAGATTGAGGACGACAGAAGCGTCATAGAGACCGAGGGGATCGGTGGCGATCAGATTATCGCGACCTCTGGCGGTATAGGGGTCGGTGTCGGGATCGGTATAGGTGGCCCTGGTGCTGCAGCCGGTGGAGGGACGGGATTGGCTAGTTACTGGCAGCACGCAACCACCGCTAGCTATTGGCCATCGTTGCTCGACTGCTGGCCCATGCCGCCTATCGCTTCGGGATCGCAAACGCTATCCCTGCCGCGGGATGAGAACTGAGAATAAGTGCTTTTCACCGTGACGACTGCGTTGTCCTCGCGACTGTCGCTCGGTCCGAGTGTCTGATTGCAAGACTAAGCATTTTCTCAATTTTTTTTATTACCGTAATGGACGAATGGTTCCACTTCTATCGCAAACAGAGAGGAATTGAAGGATTCATCCTCCAATTCTCTGAATTTAGTTTTGCCTAGTACTACGTCGCGAAGAATCGGGGAAGTAATCAGTGACATTCGATTGTTAACGTTCAGCCGGACGTATTTGTTCGTGGTCGAACACTCGTCCATCGACGGTTCAACCGTTGAGCTATCCGCGCGACTGAACTACGCATATGGTCTGTCCAGCCTGATCGGCGGACCAGAACAGCGTTGTACATACGATGTAAATGAACGGACGAACGAACGATTATTATTGGTGTATATTTAATGTTTCGAGGTGCATGTTTTCTTCTGTAAAGTTAGTGAAAGAAAAAATCGGGACTAACGTTCTCGCAACTAAGAATTTTATGTTACCCGCGCAGTCGATTATTGTTCAGTTGATTTTCGATTGAAAAGTGCGATTCGTCTCGGTTTTTAACGAATACTCGAGCCAAGGTGCAATATTGATGCTCGCTGTAAGAGCAACCTATAATACCAAAAAAAAAAAAAAAGAGAGAAGAAGCTTTATTTTCTTAATCATTTATTATTTTTTGTTTTCGTTTCTCGTCACATGGAATGTCGTGCGTTTCGAAACAGTAACTCTTGCGCGTGGTCCTCTCGGCGACACGAACGAAGAAGGTTAAGCTGCAACTTAGACTGGTAACGAAGGAAATGGGACGTTTTAATAAAGAGATCCCGATGCGCGGATCACGTACTCACTATTCTGTAGATACATGTATAGTAGACGCTGATTTAACGCGATTCATAAAAATATCTATCAGAATTGTTATATTGTAATGATGATAAACGAAGACGCATTATACAGCAGAATACCAAAAACCATGTGGGCTGTAAATAAACGGAATGGTCGCGGCGTCGACGACGCCCCTTTGTATAGTGTACGAGGAAGAGAAATCACTTTAACGGCTAAGCGTACGTTATAAATATTATTAACATTATTGAGTAATTATAAACTGTATTCGATACCCTTGCAGGGCGCGTGTAATTGAACTTCCGAGGTCTTTCGATTCACCCTCCTCCATTTACGTTATCGTTTTTGTTTTTTTCTTTCTTTTTCTAGTTTGAAATTGAACGTCGAAACATCGATGAGTTGAAAAGACATTAAGAAATTTGAGTTCGAATGGAATCGAGCGGTGGAAGTTACAGAAAAAGATTTTATCAGAGTTATAGTTGTAGGCATTTATGAACGAGTCAAAGGGGAATCGATCAACTTCGAAAGTCGATGCAGACCTAACGCTATACATCAATTATCGACGTAAGCTAGATGTAAGAAACGACCGCTATTTTGTATGAATCCCGATGTCGTACAAATGTTCGTCGTAATCACATATCCCAGTTCCCGCGGTGAGTGATTGGAAATGCCCGCAGAAGAATGTTCTCATTCCCGTTTGTCGTTTCACTCACTACGTGTAAACGTTCCTACTGGGCGATATTGAGCGCCGAAAGGCCCCGTTTGTAATCTAGTCACAATAAAAACCAATTCTATTCTAATCGATGTTGTCCCGTTACTTCGCCGATCCTCCCTTTTTCCGTCACTTTAACCTCACTTTTCTATTTACGTTATTCACCGATCAGTCGTGTGTTTCCAATAATTTTTTAACCACTTGACACTTTAGTGCATAGTTTCTCATCCTTTTTGGCTAACTATACCCTTTTTAAAGTTTTTTTTATTCAGCTCCCCCTTCGGGTAAATTATCTTTTTTTTTACAAATTTCCCAATGTAGTCGTACGTGTAATTTTTGAATCTTCAAGGAGTAGGTTAAAAATAATATAATTAGAACGCCCCCCCTCCCAGATCTTCTTAATGTTGGGAACCTACGGTTTACAGTGCGTTTGAAATTTAGGTAGAGCACCAGGTACCCCATTCAAAACTTTGTTTTCCAAATGTCGATACCTCTCGAGCGGCTAATGTTTATTATTTCATACACCATGTTCTTTAGGTACCTGGATTCATTTTGGAATCAGTGTGACATTGACTCTGAATCCGAACACACGAAATGTATGTCTACTTAATGAGTTTATTAGCTTTAAAGGATTTGTTACGTTCTTTATATAAAGTAATATGTATTTTTACTTTTCGAAATTAATAGTGATCATGGAACTTTAGTGATGCTTTTAAAAGTGACACAAATTGAACTGACGAATAGTGAAATCATTGAATGACAAATTGGATGGGAAAGCATACGTGTCGTAATTAATAAAAAAAGGTAGGTGTGAAACATATTCTTTATTAGTTTCTTGTGACGGATAGACAAATCAACATTGTTTCGACTGCACTTCATCGTTCTATCCGACTGTCAAACGGTGATCTTCAGTGACTGAAAGTTGAACGTATCCAAAACTTTATTGAAAAAAGCTTCTAAAAGTCGTAAATGAATTCAAAGATTTTTTATTTATTCGTAATTTCTTTAGATGCATTTTCCATGATTAACTGTTTCACTGATAGTGAATCTAAATTGTTGCAATCTGTCACTAATTAGGGAAATAGAAAACAGAGATATTGTTATTATTATGCCAGAAATGATTAAGTTTCACTAAAAACTGAAGACATTTAAAAATTAATGTTTCTCACAGAATTATTGCCATTTACAACCTCGCCATTCTTATTTCTAAGATTATATAATTAAAAGAGATTCACAAAAAGTCGTGCAAAACATGAACATTAGGTTTGTTCATTTTTTCGACGTTACATAAGAGAATGTTTAAAGTTATTGAACAAAGGTAACAAATACGTTCGAAGTATTCGTACTTAAAACTTTCTATGCATATTTTCATACTGTACATGTAAGTCAATGTAAAATCATCGAAAGAATGACAATCCAAAACGATTTTGCGATATTTTAACAGAAACATAAAAAAATTGTTACGAGCAACTTCTAAATATGTAACCGGGTATCCAGTTATTGATAAAGAGCTTAAGCTTTTCATTCCCCTTGTAGCTATATACATATTTTAAATTACAAAATGAAAAATTACTATTATTTATACCTCCATTGCTCTGAGTTTATAATAGTTTCTTCTAACCTTGTATAGATGACAAGACACAAATTTTCATATGTTTTCAAAAGCTTATCGGTAAAATAAAACATTATCGCCCTTTGTTTCTTTCATTTGCTGGAATTCAATTGTTGAGCATTATTAACCATACAATAATAAACTCAAAAATGGGTTTTATTGCATATAATAACTTCATAATGTCATTTATTATACGTAACTGTGACAGAAGTAAAAAAAATGTGGCAAATGGCAACGAATAAAAAAAATGGCACTAAACGTTTTCAAAATGTTAAAATGTTCCTGTGAATCATTTATATTCCGTGTAATATAGACAAAAATACAAAAGGAAATATTGTTTTATAATTGTTAGATAATTTAGGAATGAAAGGGTCAACTCAATACTCAAAATCCACAGTTTAATGTCAGACAGTTTAATGAATTCGACCGTTTAAACGTGGTGTCCAAAGGGTACGTGTAATTTTTTTCCGTCGTAGCGTCAAGTTCACAGCTCTAATTACGCGATGGATATTGAATTAAGACAAAAGCCCGCGGCAATGAATTCCGATCGATGATTAGGCTATTTATCGGTAGTTAGGGGCGACCCATTATGCCCCCGGACGCCAAGGGGGCATCGATAACATTCCGAATCTACATGCATACCGAGCGTGTAACGTGTTGCATTATGGTGGTCGGGGTGGAAAAGCGATAAATTATGCACCCTCCCGGGATGCCACGCGAAGGGGTCGCCACGCTCCGCAACCCCCACGTCCGTTAAACTAAACTTAAACGTATATTACGATGATCGTCGTCCCGTTAATGGCAGGGCCGGTCATAAGATATTACAGTCCGTATGTTTCCAATTATATACGACACCGACAGCATTCTAGATACTGGGTCGGTGCATAAGTAATCCCGTTTCATATGATGCGCTTTGTATATTAACCTTTAGAGGACGGGACGCCTTCCTTCTAAACTGTTTTCACTTTAAAATATCATACATAAGGGATTTATCGGTCGGCGAATTCAAATTTCGTTTGAGAATTACGTTTCAACAAGTCACAACTGTTAATATTGTTAATATATGTAGCTAAAAAAGTGTCACTCTTTTTGTATAGTCTTTGGTAATATTATTATTACCTCTTTAGATATATTATTATCTAATTTCATGTTGGAGATATTTCACGACAATCAACGTTTATGTGTCGTGAATATAATACGTCTCTGTGTGTTGTACCTTGTTTCGAAATATATCACATACAACGATATTACTGAATATAAACAAGAATACAA